TGTGTTCCATTCAAGAAATTGACGACTGCGCAAGAACTAGCTACGCTTGCATGGGTTGCCTAAGGCGATTGTCTCGGACCGTAGGAGCCAGTTTGTGTCCAGGTTCTGGCGCTCCTTCTGCTCCCAGTTGGGTATTAAGCTCTCCTTCTCTTCGGCCTACCACCCGCAGTCCAATATGGCTGCGGAGCGTTCCAACCAGGCCCTGGAACAATTCCTTCGCTGCTATATCTCAGACCATCAAGACAATTGGGTCGATCTCCTGCCACGGGCAGAGTTTGCGAGGAACTCGGCTGTCAACTCCTCCTCCGGGATGTCTCCCTTCATGGCCAACTATGGGTTCCAACTCGCTGTATTGCCTGAGTTGTTCTCGCCACAGGACATTCCGGCTGTGGAGAACCATCTTGCTGCCCTGCGTTCTTCATGGGGCAGATCCAGAGGTCCTTGAAGGACTCAGCACAGCACCAGAAGCTCCAGGCTGATCGTAGGCGGTTGCCCACGCCTTCATACCAGGCCGGAGATCAGGTGTGGTTGTCCACTCGTAACCTCAATCTTCGGGTGCCCGCACCTAAACTGGCTCCCCGTTTTGTTGGTCCTTTCCGCATCCTTCGCAGGGTGAACCCGGTTGCCTATGCCCTTGCTCTTCCTCCTGGGATGCGTATCTCCAATGTCTTCCACGTATCTCTGTTGAAGCCTCTGGTCTGCAATTGCTTTACTGCCTCACTGCCTCGGCCCCGTCCTATCCGGGTTGACAGTCATGAAGAGTATGAGGTGAGCCGCATCCTGGACTCTCGGTTGGTCCACGGTCGGGTGCAGTTCCTGGTCCATTGGCGTGGTTATGGTCCCGAGGAGCGTTTCTGGGTTCCTTCCTCAGATGTTCATGCTCCTGCCCTCCTCCGCACTTTTCATGCCCGCTTTCCCCAGAAGCCTTATGTTGAGCCACGGAGGGGGAGGGGCCCTTGAGGAGGAGGTACTATCAAGGTCCTACCTTTCCTCAGGGCTTGTGCTGCTCCATGTGCTGGCATCCATCTTAGGACTGCAAATCATTGTGGGATCCTTTATGCTTTCAGCCCTCTGCGGCTCCTCCCAGGAGGTGGCAGGTTATCACATTTAAGTCTGCTGTTTGCAGCTGTCCATAGCATTCGTGTCCTGTCTGTTGCACAGCAGCAAGCTCCTGTTTAGTTAACTCTTTGCTCTCCTGGATACCGACTCGGCTTTGGCTAAGACTCCTCCTGGCTTCTGACCCTGGCTCTGGCGACCATTCTTCCTGGCTTCTGACCCCGGCTCTGGCAACCATTCTTCCTGGCTTCTGACCCCGGCTCTGGCGACCATTCTTCCTGGCTTCTGACCCCGGCTCTGGCGACCATTCTTCCTGGCTTCTGACCCCGGCTTTGGCTATGATTCCCGCTGGTTCTCAACTTGATTATCCTGGAAGATGACCTCGGCAGGAGAACTTCTGTCCTACCAAATCATCCTTTGTTGCTGTCGGACTTGCATAGACTCTTGCCTTGTTTCTGTGTAAATAAATCTACCTTTAATTGCACCTCCTTGTGTGTCTGGCTCTTCGCTCCCTGACAGGGATGGAAAAGTCCTCTTTTTTGGTGGGGGACTTTAATGGCACAATTTACTTGTATGATAAATTTCAACAATTCAGAAGAGATTTTTTATAAAAACAGTATGAAATTTTATTTTTACAATCTTCAAAAATAAATATAAAGCTATATTACATATTGTGGCGGTGTCATCAGAGATGGTATTGCAAATCTAATCATGGATCATGCATGGTTCACACTTGATGCGGTTTGAGATCAACAAAAATCTCTTCTTCAGAAGTTCTCAAGAAGGCATGATGTATGATTCCATGTGAGGTAAAAACCACCAGGAAATATTAAGAAAAAAATTGTTATGTGAACACAGCCATGGATTTCTCATATATCTCAGGCAAAAATGATGAAATACAGCCATCAAGCATGCTTCTTTGGATAGACCTAGTATTTTTTGCCCCATATTTGGCTGTCTTTCACATCTCAATCCTGATTTTTATCAGGTAATCAACACTTTCTCATGCACATTCCTTGTGGTCATCGCTTCTCACTCATAGTAGCACTGCCCTATCAGTACCAACCAGCAGGTAATCTTGTTTACAGTGCATTTTGGTGGGGCCCCCTTCAGGAGGCGTTTGGGTGGCATTTTTCATCCACTGGTCTCAGTTTTTTCTTTATCAATTTTTGTTTCATCATTTTTGCCTGAGATATATGAGAAATCCGTGGCTGTGTTCACATAACAATTTGTTCTTAATATTTCCTGGTGGTTTTTACCTCACATGGGATCATACGTCATGCCTTCTTGAGCACTTCTGAAGAAGAGATTTTTGTTGATCTCAAAATGCGTCAAGTGCGAACCATGCATGATCCATGATTAGATTTGCAATACCATCTCTGATGACACTGCCGCAATATGTATTGTAGCTTTATATTTATTTTTGAAGATTGTAAAAATAAAATTTCATACTGTTTTTATAAAAAATCTCTTTTGAATTGTTGAAATGTATCATACAAGTAAATTGTGCCGTTAAAGTCTCACCAAAAGAGAGGACTTTTCCCCCCCTTGTATTTGTTAGGGATTTGTTTGTGTATTATATCCCTTCCTCTCTCTATCTACAATATATATGTAAAGCACTGCGTAAATTGATGGCGCTATGTAAGTACCTGAAATAAACAAATAAATATTGGGAAAAAAATTCTTACCTTCTAGGTGTCTTCTAGGTCTTGGCAAACTGCAAGAATTTCTGAACAATCTGATGTGAATCTGTCCAAATAGACCCAAGGTTCTTGTGACTGCACTGACCAATCAGAACCAATCTGATCTGTCCCAGGATCCCTAGGGGAAGAAGTAGAGCAGCTTTTTTTTTCAAATACCAGGACCACTGTATCGGGAGGCATGGATGGTGAAACTGTATCATCCACAGAAGAAAGTACAGCGTAGACAGGGGAGTAGGGAAGGTGTGGATGTGGCCAGGCATGTTCACTTTTTAATTTTTTCTGAAAAGTTCAAGTTACACTCGAAAACAAATTTAAACCCACAAACAAAAGTTAATTATATTTCAGCTTACAAGTCCTTATGGACTTTCCTAAGCAAAAATCACACTGTTAGAAATTCATTTATTCAACAAAGTTTCTATCCTGTTCCTTCAAATCTTCTTGTCACTGAAAAAAGGGAGATTTGACCCCATTAATGATTAGAAAAGCAAACAAACGTTCTTAAAACAGACATTTTCTAATTTTTTAAATTCCAATTTTACTTGTGTATACCCAGCTTTAGATGTGTTGGCTGCATTCGTTTTCACTTTTCAGGCTAAGGACACTTCAGAAAACACCTGTTGACCTTGCCAGAAATGCACTGTCATTGCCACGTCCCATGAGATTAGAAGAAAGGACAAAGAACCTTATCTTTATTGTGAAAACTGCTAGTCCATCATTTCAGCATGTACTAGAGATAAACAAAGGCAGATTGTTTGAAGCCCAACCTGTGTGACACCCATGGCTGCCCCATAGATACAAGAGAGAATTGAGCATAGACAGGAGGGGTATTATTCAGTGACTTACCAGGTCGTAATAAGTGAAAAACATCCAAAAAAAGCAGAACTAATGCAGACACTACATCTAGGTACTGATATGCTGTAAAAGCTAATATTTTTTTGTTTTGGCTTTAGATACACATTAACCTTTTTTGCTCCCATAGCCAATTTTGCTTTTTTCGCGCACATTTAACAATATATATTTTATGAAAGCAGACACACTGGAGAATAAAATGGTCATAGTTTAAATTTTTTATGTCTCTTGATATTTGCGCGAAGGTTCATCAAGCACAAATTTTCAGTAAAAACACACTAAAGTTAATTTTAGAGCACTCAAACACAATATAGAAACCCCAAAAAATATAATATAATGGCATGGGCAGTTGAGAAATTTACACTTACATGAAATTCTCCTAAGAGTGAAGCCTTTGTTTACAAAGTTATTTAAGCAACGGGATTGATTTAAGGTCTTGTTCACATCTGAGTGACTCAGAGTTGGTTGGCAGAATTGTGAAATTACGGATCACTCTAAAAATGCGCAAAAGTGTGCAATGTGCATGTGGTGCTATCCATCACTGTGTGCACCTCAAATGCGATAAAGAATTTGCCATTTTGCCATGCATCAAAACACTTGAAAAATGGTGCTATTCAAAAACACCCCAAAGTCAGCTCCAATAAAGGGTACAGGAGCTACTTTGGAATGTAAGGCAGCTCATTCCAATGTAAAAATATGTGTGAAAAACAAAATGCTCCAATGTCGCTCAGATGTAAATGGTGCCTTAACGTGGTTCTAAAGCCTGAAGGTTTTTTAATCTCTGCATTAAGGTAAAAAAAATCTTCAGTGTGCTCCCCCCTCAGTCCCCCTTTTAATTACCTGAGCCCGATCTCAATCCAGCGATGTGCAGGATGAGCAGCGTCTCTCAGCTATCTCTCTTCACTGGACAGAGGCAGCACTAGGAGCCATTGACTCCTGCTGCTGTCAATCACAGCCAATGAGAAAGGAGTGGGGGTGGGGCTGAGCTGCTCTCTGTGTGTCAATAGACACACAGAACCAACTCAGGAGCGAGCGTGTTTGCTATGGTGCACTTGGCAGGGGTGAAAAGCGGACAGCAATGGTGAGGGCCCTGAGAAAAGGAGCATCAAGCCTGCTTTGTGCAAAACCATTACACAGAGCAGGTAAGTATGACACGTTCATTATTTTAAAAAAGTAAAATCCAAACTTTTTAAATCACTTTAACCGCCTCCCACCCGCCATATAAGGAAATGACGGGCGCAAGGCGGTTCTCTTGTTCTGAGAGGATGTCATATGACGTCCTCCCACTCTAACAGCGCATGCGCGCGCAGCGATCACTGGTGCGCTGTGTTCCTGGGACATAGCAGATCACCGATTAACAGAAAGAGACGAAGACGTCTGCTCTGTCATGTGATCAGCTGTGTCCAATCACAGGTGATCGCATGCAAATAAGGAAATGCCGGTTATTGGCGTTTCTCTCCTCACAAGCTGTCACTCTGACAGCTCGTGAGGAGAGGAGAGCCGGTAATCAGCATTACCCACAGGGGACATGTACACTGATCATCAGGGCACTGATGATCAGTGTGCCCTGATGTTCAGTGTAGCCCCAGCAGTGCCACCTGTCATTGTTCATCAATGCCACCTGTCATTACCCATCAATGCCACTTGCCCGTGCCCATCAGTGCCACATATCAGTGCCCATCTGAGCTGCCTTTCAGTGCCACCTATCAGTGCCAGTCAGTGCCACCTATTAGCGCCAGTCAGTGCTGCCTATCAGTACACATCAGAGCCACCTATCAGTGCCCGTCAGTGCTGCCTAACAGTGCCAGTCAGTGCTGCCTAACAGTGCCATATATGAGTTCTGCCTTTCAGTGCCCATCAGTGATGTCAGTCAATGCCCATCAGTGCCACCTACCAGTGCCTCCTCATCATTGCCCATCAGTGCAGCCTATCAGTGCCCATCACTACAGCCTCATTAGCGCACATCAGTGAAGGAGAAAAATAATTTATTTACAAAATTTTATAACAGAAACTAAGAAAAAAATTTATTTTTCAAAGTTTTCAGTAGTTTTTGGTTTGTTTAGCAAAAAAAAAAAAAACCCAGGGGTGATTAAATACCACTAAAAGAAAGCTCTGTCTAAAAAAAGTGATAAAAATGTCATATGGGTACAGTGTTGCATGACTGCGCAATTGTTATTCAAAGTGTGACAATGCTGAAAGATGAAAATTGGCCTGGGCAGTAAGTGGGTATACGTGCCCTGTAGGTTAAAGTGGTTAAAGTGTTACTAAACCCAGGACTCTGCATTCACTATATCATGTCTCCCACAGTACACACAACATGGAAATGCAATTATTTTAGTAAATATAAACTGCTAAATACCTTTTCTCATCAGCAGTATATAGCAGTCTTGTGACATCTGTCCGTATCCAGCAGAGCTCTGGTTACAGCTTGAAGGAGAACTTTTCTTTCTGCTTTAGGAAGATGCAGGACCCCTTACCCTCTGAACAGTGCTGATTGGCCCTGTGCTGATCACATGCACTCTCCCAAGTAAAAAAACAAACTCTCTAGTAATATACACCAAACTGAGCATGTGCAGAGTGACTTCAAACCTATGTTCTGTCAGGAGATATTTAGGGGACAATAGAAAAAGGGGAGAATCAGAGAAGAGAGAATCAAACAGCCTTTTTACAGAATGTGGAGAATTGACCCCTTAGGTTACACAGTGAGTATAACAAGCATGCTTTTCCTACAGACTGATTTTACTGTTGTGGGTTTAGTAACACTTTATGGTTAAAGAGTGCCTTTAGGACCTGTCAAGAGAGAATTATATAGGCTGCCATTGATGGCCTCTCCATTTGAGAATGTTAATTCTCTGGATGTCATGCTGATGCATTGCCTTCAATACTTTCTAAAGCACTGACCTGCAACAACCATGGAGCTTAGGGATTCTTATAATCATTTACAGCATCCTCATTCTAGGTCTGAAGATATTGCAGCTAGACAACTACCATTTTCTAAAGGAAGCCAGAAATGGCAACCCTTGTACTTTTCTTATGACAAGTGTATTTTAATTTGAGGATTTTGGTGCTCTGTTAGGTTACTCTAATTGCAAGCAGGTTGCCAGACACTATAAATGAAGTAGTCAGTATGACTTTCACCAAACATTCTCTGGTGGAGAATCTTCCATGCCTATGTGTTTTAAATGGCAGTGATTGATTCCCCACTAGAGAATGTTTGGTGACAGTCTCATCTCTTTATAACCAGACCATTTTCAGGTGTGTCCTGTTCTGATCACATAGTTTTTTGGCTGTGAAGTGCATGCCGGAAAATGTGGGTTTGGGGGCAAGCAACTTCACCTAAATCCACATGGAAATAAAATTAGGACCAGTGACTGTGTCCTTGCAGCCACTGCATCCCAATAGACATGAATGCACACAGGGCAGAACAGTGGCTAAATGGTTAGTACTTCCACCTGGCTACACTAGGGTTGTTGGTTCAAATCCAAATCACAGTACCACCTGCCTGGAATTTGCATGTTCTCCCTGTGCCTGCGTGGGTTTCCTCCTGGTACTCTGGTTTCCTGCCACACTCCAAAAGCTGGTAGGTTAATTGGCTTCTATCTAGGGCCCTAGTATGTGTGGGTATGAATGTGAGTTAGTGACCTTAGGTTGTACGCTCCTTGAGGTTCGGGACTGATATGAATGTACAATATATATGTAAAGCACTACGTAAATTGACAGCATGAATGGGACCACTTGCATGCAGATGCACCAGACACCTGTGTATCTCATGTGAGCAAAGACAGCCTTTCATACAGCTGTATGGTTAGGCATCCTAAAATACCATGCTTATTTTTTCATTACTAACAATCGTAATATTGCCATGGGTGTCCACACACCATTGCTTTTTGCAATACTTTATTAATAATCCCAGCAGTGGTATCTGTTATAAAATCTACAATGGTAGCTGCTGCGTTTTCCTTACTGCTTCTATGAAGAACTGGTTCATGTGCAGGTTAAACTTGGCTTTGGTTGTACTGACAGTAAATGTTAAATTGATTTTCTTTCAGGCAGTTTACAGTGCCATTCCTAGACCAAAGGAAGATAAGCACTTTGATCAGAAATAAGTATACCACTACTGTAGCTTGGCCAGTAGTTGCTAATATTTTTTTATACCTGTTTCTTTCTGTGTGATTTCTATGAATGATGAGTAACTCGAGGTGAGTTAGATAGATCTTGCAGGTCCGGCAATAATCTGTTGGAAATGAAAACCAAAATACCTCTGTTAGATCATTTTCTTGTTACTTGCTCTTTGGCCCCTTTCACATGGGTGGCCAGGTGGCAATAGAAATATATTAATGATCCACATTTTCACTGCACCCCAACTGCCCACATACAGTCATGGCCACCCCTGCATTTCTGTCAGATAATGCACCACTTTGCCCAGAAAATTGTTGCAATTTCAAATGTTTAGGCATTCTCGTGTTTATTTCTTTTGTTTGTATTGGTATGACACAAAAAACTGGAGAAACAAAAAGCCAAATCTGAAACATTTTAATATAACATCAATGAGTTTCTTACACCTCTGTACTGGAATTTTGGACCACTCTTCTTTTGCCAACTGCTCCAGGTGTCTCCGATTGGAAGGATCCATTTTCCCAACTGTTGTTTTGAGATCTCTCCACAGGTGCTCTATAGGATTGAGATCTGGACTCATTGCTGGCCAGTTCAGTACTCTCCAGTGGTTTTTCTGAAACCATTTCTGGGTGCTTTTTGACGTGTGCTTTGGGTCATTGTCCTGCTGTAAGATCCATGACGTCTGAGACCCAACTTTCTGACATTGGGCCTTACACTGCACCCCAGAATTCTTTGGTAGTCTTCAGATTTCATAATGCCATGCACACGGTCAAGACATCTGATGCCTGAAGCAGCAAAGCAACCTCAAAACATCAGTGAACCTTCACCATGTTTGACTGTAGGGACTGTATTCTTTTCTTTTACGGCCTCATTTCTTTTTCTGAAAACATTAGAATGGTGGGCTTTACCAAAAAGCTGTAGTTTTCTTTCATCTGTCTGTCCATAGCAAACTCCAATCTGGCTTTTTTATGCTTCTGTGTCAGCAATGGGGTCCCCCTGGGTCTCCTACCATAGCGTCCCTTTTCATTCAGATGGCGATGTATAGTGCAAGCTGATACAGTTGAACCCTGTGCCTGAAGGTCAACTTGAATTTGTCTGGAAGTTGATCGAGATTCTTTAGCCACCTAATTAAAAATCCTTTGTTGCAATCTTTGATCAGTTTTTCTCTTTGGTCGACGTCCAGGGAGATTAGCTACAGTGCCATGAGCTGTACACTTCTTGACAATGTTGCACAGAGGGGACACATCTAGGGGGATATTGTGTGTTCAGGTGCTTAAGGGGATAACATCTAACCATAAGCGTGGGGATGACATTATTATCATAATAAAATATAGGTATTGCCCACCAAAACAGGTTTTTTTTTTTTTAGCAGAGACAAGTTGGTCAAACAAATGTTATATAGTAATCTGGTGCACAAAAGACATATGTCTATCAAGTTCAACCAATAGGTTGGTTAAGGCTATCCATTATTTGCTACCAGCAAGCTGTCTAAGAGAGATAACATGCTTGTGACCCATTTATAACTTAGTATACCTAAACAAAAGATCATGGAGGATTGCTTTTCAGAAGGCAGTTGATGAATGGCTGGGAGGAAATATACATGCTGTTGCAAGTTGCAGTGTAGCCAAATTCACTTGAATGAGTCATGCTCATTGCAAAACATTTTCTGGCTCAACTGCCTATCTTTACCTCTCCCTGGTTGCCTGTGTAAATGGGCTCTTTAGTCAGTTTCTGTTAGCTTCTAAGAGCTTTGAAACACCTGCTACTTGATTACATTGGAAGGCAAGCAGGCTGCCAAGATTCTGTTGCAATCTGAAAAAAGTGAAGATTATAGTGCATCAGTTGTAGACTTTGAAGATTAGTTTCTCCACAGAGCTTATAGCTACTGAGATGAATGAGGGCTTGTTTTAAAATGCTTTTATGGGCTTGTTAAGATATGTAGAATATGTACATACTTTACAGTACACAGTCTTGGCACAGTCCATTTAAAACTGCTTATTAATCTAAGACTACCCTGTCCAGAGTTTGGCAACACTGCTACAGAATGAACAGAGTTTTCACCCTGTTACAGGAAGTGGAGAGTCAATGGTAAGAAAATAATATTATAAGGGTGACAAGAAAACAAAGATTTGTTTGGTTAATGCTTTAGGCAGACTGCCTATATGTTATATTTTTATGTTACCCATAGTTCCACTTTAAGTATGGTATATCCCAGTCACTATCATGTCTTGGGGTTGTCCCTTATTTCAGAGGGTTAAATCATTAGTGTGAGCAAGCCACTGCCTTTTATACCCAGACAACCTCCATCTGTTTGCTTGTGCAATGACATTGTATCCGTACATATGACTTCTTACTGTACATTTTTAAAACATTTGTTTATGTAATAATTAGCATGAATGTTCTAGAATGGGTTTTTCATCTAGCACTCCATGTTAGAGTGCCTAATAGTTATTGCCATTTCAAGGATTGTGTAATAGGTTTAACTGGATTCAAACCAACAAAGATTTTTTCTTTGTAATTCAGAAATAAAACAAGACTGCTGGAAACAGCAACCAAGCTATAAAGTAAAATGTGGATTCCAAGGTAATCACTTTTATGACTTATTTTAAAAACTTA